ATAATGACAGAACAAGGGGAAATGGTTGTAAGTTGAAGCAGGGAAGACTTAGGGTGGATATCAGGGAGAACTTCTTTACCAAGATTGTGGTGAGGTGCTGGAACAGGCTGCCCAGAGAGGTTGTGGATGCCCAGTCCCTGGAGGTGCTCAAAGCCAGGTTGGATGGGGCCCTGGGCAGCCTGGTCTAGTATTACGCATGGAGGTTGGTGGCCCTGCCTGTAGCAGGGGGACTGGAGCTTGATGATCTCTGAGGTCCCTTCCAATCCTAGCTGTTCTATGATTCTATGATCTGTATGATCCTTGATCCAGAAAATGACTGTAAGAATAAAACAATAGTGGAGATTAAGTTTTTAGAGCAAATTGGCCCAATGGGTTTTAAATTGCTCCAAGCCCCAAGAAAGACAGCACAAAGGAACAGAACATGAAATCCAAAACTAAAAGAAATGTGTGGAATATTATATATAATTCTATACATATATATCTACACAATATATTTTACTTGTAATACAGTACAATTCACTTGTAAAATTATGTATGTATAATTATTTACATTTAAATTATATATACTTACAAAATTATATATTTAAATATACGTATTATATACAAAGAACTGAAATAGATAAAGAAAAATGCCAGTCATAGAAGACACAAGTGACTATGAAAACAGTAAGTGATAAAGCAGACCAGAAGTAGATGCATTTTTAACTAGAACAGTCAAAGCAGCTGGTTGAAGGCTCTTGTAAGATTAGATAAAGAAAAAAACTAATGCCAGTAAATGTGGAACAAGCAACATAAAAGTAAGAGGTGTGGCTTTGGATTCTACCAGAATATGACTTCTGTATTTTGTGCAGTACTAGATATACTCACAGCAGTTGCTCATGCACTGCCATGACATGACACTTCCACACAGTTTGGCTCAATAAATGCTGTGCTAGAAACTTTTCTGTTACTCTGAGACTGAGTGTGTGTGCTCTCTTACATTCAATGTATTTGTTTCTGTAATAATTCCTTCCTATTGAAGAAAAGAATAAACAGCTTAACCTTCTGTTGACTCACTGAGATAAATGGATCACCAGGTCTTCCTTGAAGCCTTCGGTTCTCCCTTTCCCTGTGTCTGAGCTGAATGATGGCCCAGTACAGCCAGGAGGAGACCTTGGTCATCTGCAAAAGGCTGATTTAACTTGTCTGCTGTACGCACATTCTTTAGCTCCTGCTCCACCAAGTTCTACAGCTGCTTGCTAAAATAAGCTTGTTACCTACAAAATCTATCTCAAAAAGAGGTGTGGTTTTATATATACATACACAAACACATCTGTACACACACATACATGCATATGTTATATGTGTATGTATCTGTAAAACATCTTTTATATAAATAATACATTCTTCTTATACTTTACAACAAGACCATGTGCAGCATGCTGCACTTGGGTCAGGGCAATCCCAGGTATTTATACAAACTGGGAGAGCAGCCCTGCAGAGAAGGACTTGGGGGTCCAGGTGGATGAGAAGCTGGATATGAACCAGCAGTGTGTGCTTGCAGCCTGGAAGGCCAACTACGTTCTGGATGGCATTAGAAAAAGGAGTGGCCAGAAGGGAGAGTGAGGTGGTTGTCCCCCTCTACTCAGCTCTTGTGAGGCCTTATCTGGAGTTCTGCAACCAGGCCTGGGGTCCTGAGTACAGGATGGACATGGAGTGGGTCCAGAGGAGGGCCACTAAGATGATCAGAGGGCTGGAGTACCTCTCCTATGAAGAGAGGTTGAAAAAACTGGGCTTATTTAGCTTGGAGAAGGCTCTGCAGAGACCTTATTGTGACCGTTCAATACTTGAAGGGCGTGTATAAACAGGAGGGGGAATGGTTGCTTATGAGAGTGGATAGCGACAGCACAAGGAGGAATGGCTTTAAACTGAGACGGGGAGGTTTAGGTTAGATATTAGGAGGAAGTTTTTCACCCAGAGGGTGGTGATGCACTGAACAGGTTGCCCAAGGAGGCTGTGGATGCCCCATCCCTGGAGGCATTCAATACCAGGCTGGATGTGGCTCTGGGCAGCCTGATCTGGTGGTTAGCAACTCTGCACAAAGCAGGGCGTCAAAACTCAATGATCACTGTGGTCCTTTTCCACCAAGGCCATTCTATGATTCTATGATTCTGTTAAACAAACCCATATGCTTTCCAATACACAGTTAAATAAACTGCTTTGTTCTTTATACAGTTATGCCTCAGCAGTTTACAAATAGCAAGTTAGCAGATGCCAGAACTGACTGAGGTGTGACACTGATTAGTCAGTATTAAGATGCTAGATCCTTGCTCCTAGTAATACCACTGACTGTTATTCTAGGAAAAATGCCCTCTTCCAACAGGCACACAAACTGGGAGACCAGCAGGTATTTCTACAAGTTTCTGTCAACCCCAAATCCAAACCCCATGTCTAAGAGCAGTGTCCAAACGACCCTTGGTCTCCCATACAGGGGTCGTGCCCACCGCGCTCCTGTGCAGTCCCTTCCCCTCATCTCCTCCCTTCTCCCTGCTCCTGTCCTGACGCAGCTCCGTGCCGCCCGCTCGGGCCCCATCGCTGCCCACCACCGTCCCGGGAAGAAGGGCACAAACCACAACAGCCGCAGCCCACGGGTGCCCGCAGCCCGCCGCCGCGCGGCTCTTACCCTCCTGCAAGAGGCGGCTGGGCCGCACAGGCGGGACGCAGAAATGCCGCGCTCTCCAACCGGGCCGCGGCGGCCGCGCCACCTCCCGGTCCGACAGCCAGGTGACGGCCTCGTAGTTGTCGCCACGGAGCAGCGCGGCCGCCTCGGCGCTGTGCACCGCCACCTCCTCAAAGTGCTGCAACCCGCCCGAGTGGTCGAAGTGGACGTGGGTGGCCACGGCCAGCAGAGGCCGGGGGCCGGCCCCGTCCGGCGGTGCCAGCAGTCCCGCGGCACGCAGGTAGTCGGGCAGGCTGCGCAGCCCCAGCCCCGCGTCGATCACCAGGTCGCGCTGCGAGCCCCGCACCAGCCAGATGTTGGCCCGGTTGCCCGACTCGTAGAAGCGCTCCTGGATCCAGAAGATGCCGCCGCCCAAGGGCTTGTGCGCGAACCATTCCAGCGCAGACATCGTATCCGCCGCCGAGCCCGTCCGCGCGGCGAGACCGGGCGGGGCCTGGGGCGCCGGGGGGAGGGCAGAGCCGGGCCCGGCCCACTGCGGCAGCCGCGGGCGGAGCGAAGCTGCGGGTGAGTCGCGGGAGCGGAGGGGCGGCAGCTGGCGAAGGGAAGGAGAGGGGCCGTGGGACGGCACGGGGGCAATGAGGGCAATGGGGGCAATGGGGAAGGAAGAAGCTCGGACAGGGCGTTGTCATCTTGGCAGTGTTGTCATCGCGGTCGGTATTTCACTTCCCTGACGCGTTCAGGGAATGCAGCTGGCATGAGCAATCCCCGCATTTAACTGTCCATGCGTTATTTGCTCTGCCATTATTTCCAGCTCCCGCTGGTTGCTACCGTCTCAGAGAAATGAACGCAGCAAAAGTTGTGCTCAGAGTTGTGTGCTAATGGGAACTGGTTCAGGTGTTTGGCTGCCACACAGGCCTGCGGCTTTGGCCTCTTCTGGCCTCAGAGGGTTTGCCTAGCTGCATGAGGGGCAGCTCCTGCAGCACATACAACTTCACACGTTTCAGCTGTGCTTTTGCTTACCCCTGAAACTCATCCTTTTTTCTTTTTTGTAGAGTAAAAGCAACAGAATCTATCTGTAAATAAGGAACTTCATGCAGCCAAACATCCTTCATACTCTTAATTTCTCATGGCAACTCTGTCCTTCATAGTTTGTTTTTAGACTCACAGAATCATAAAATATCTCAAGTTGGAAGGAAACAAAGGGATCGTAGAAACATCAAGGCTGGAAGGGACTACCAAGACCATCTAGTCCAACCCCAACCCACTACCACCATGCTCAATAACCGTGTCCTTCAGTGCTGCATCCGCATACTTCTTGAATGGTGACTCCAGGACCTCCCGAGGCAGACTGTTCCAATACCTCACCGCTCTTTCTGAGAATATTTTTTTTCTCCCTAATATCCACCCTCAACCTCCCCTTAAATTGGCAGCTTAAAGCCATTCCATCTCATCCTGTTGCAGTTACCTGGCAGAAGAGGCTGACCCCCATCCCAACACCTATCTGGTCATTGTAGAGAGCAGTAAGGTCTCCCTTGAGCCTCCTCCAGGCTTCTCCAGTCCCTTCTAACACTCCTCATAAAGCTTGTGCTCCAGACCCTTCACCAGCTTCATTGTCCTAACTGATGATCCTTTGCTGGATCATCAAGTCCAGCTCCTAGTTCCATACAGGACCACCCAAAATTCCAACTAGATTGAATGTGTGAGCGAACTATAAAGTTAATTGTCAAAGTCACTGTTTCCTTTATGATTTCTCCTCTCATCTCTTGCTTTCACTTTATGATATCAGCAGACTTTCCTTAGACTTCTATGCTCAAAAGAAGATGAGAGTTAGTAAAACTGCCACATTGAAAGAGGATTCATTTTAAAGCTTGTTGCTTCTCATCAGATTAATTCATTATTTCAAGAAAATATTATAATTAATTTTAAAGCCAAATTTAAATATATATAGGTATCTAATGCAAAGTATGTACCAATTCCCGCACATCTGGAAATTTCCACCAAACCCTTTTCTGTTTTCTTCCTTTTTTTTTCTGTCCTCTTTTTTCACACCTTGGTATCTGCTTATGTTTGGGAATTATCTGTTATCTTTCTTCATTCTGCTAGGCTCACATTTTCTTTCTCTTGTTTTCAAAAGAATTTCACGTATTTTTCTGTCTTCAGTTAATTAAATACTCAGATTTTTCTTTCTTGTCTTTCTTAAAATGATTTATGTAGGACATTCTGATTTTTTTTAGATAATTTTCTGTGAAGCAGACTGACATAGAAACGTATATCATGATTTAGCTTCCTCCAAAGAGAGCATATTCCTATGGAAAATAATACGTAAGAAAAGACTGGGTTTTTACTGACATTTTATAAAAAGGCCATCCCTTCAATTTTGGGAATTCTGGAAGGATCTTAAGTAGACCTTTCTTTGCTCCTGATAGTAATTCTCCTTGTTGTCTTAGACAACTGTATGAAAAGCTATAAGTATTGTGCTAGTTCTTATTTCCTATTTGGACCTTTATCTTGTGTGGATTGCCTTAAGAATAGCTGGAATGTTACTGGTAGAGCAGGAAGTCTGGAACAGTCTTGCAGTTTGATAACCTGGTAATTACTGGTATGCACAAAGGATTTCTGGGCTGGGATTCCTCAGTCATACTTTATGTGGTCTTGAGTTGTGAGTCACTTTGCTCAAACTGGGCCTGTCTTGGACCTCATCTCTTGATATCATTCTCCACAAAAAAAATGTTTCTTGTACTTTTCTCTACCTGCCAGCTCATGGATCATACAGTGCTGAGATGGAGATTAGGTGAGATGTAGCTATAAATGCAGGCTCTTTATTTTTTTTTAATAGCCATACAGAAATTTATGGCTATTGTGCAGTAAATTACTGTAATTGCAGATTATTTTTTTTTCTTTTATAAGACCTACAATTCTGTGATTCTATGATTCTGTGATTCTGTGATATGCTTGGTTAATAGGACAAGAGGAAATGGCTTCACATTTCTTCAGAGGAGTTTTAGATTGGATAATAGGGAAATTTTCTTTACTGAAAGGGTTATGAAGCATTGGAATTGGCTCTCCAGCAAAGTAGTTGAGCTCCTATCCCTGGAGGTAATAAAAGACGTGTAGATGTGGTGCCTAGAGACATGGTTGGATGGTAGACTGGGTAATATGAAGCTTGATGATCTTAACATGGGTGCCCAAACTTTTGGCTTGTCTGGGATGTCTTCACTCTGAGATTTTATATGTGATCATGGGCTGCATATAAAATATATAATGTAGTTCATGTGTATAAGTAACAAAACTTTTTTTTTAATATATATATATATATTTATTAAAACATTAAAAGAGAAACAAAATCAAAAAACTAGTGGGATATTTGACCATGTTTTTGTGAAAATGGTGCATCAGTGGTTTGATGGCTCTTAGTGAAGTGATGGTTCACAGTTCATTGTGAATCTAAAAGTGTTCATCAGAGATTCTGGATGAAGTTTTCTCTTTTGGTGTTTCATCCTTGAAAAAAGTTGTTCAGAAATGTGTGTACTGTCAAAAAGTGTTGACATGGATAAAGTGTGGTCATGAAGTGAAGGGTATTTCTCTCTGCTAAGATAGGGCTTATACAAGTCTGATAAAGAGACATGTCTGATTGCAACTCTATACATTCCATTTGAAAATACAGGTAATATATTTATGGGTCACAAATATACAAAAAAACCTGGTGATTCTTTCAGCAATCTTGAAACCTGTTCCCAAATTCCATTATCAAAATGGAAGCCACAGCTACATATTTTTCACTGTTTGCGGGACTGCATTTAGCCAGTGTATCAAAACGCATACAATTGTTTGCCACAGCACTTGAGCCAGCACTGTGCTGCACTTGCCCCTGTCCCAGTTTCAGCCCAGACAGTGCTGACTGCACAGCACTGTGTGGTTGCTGTGAGCAATGGATGTGCTCCCAGGGCTGGTTTGGCTGCTCCATGGATCAGAGCCACTGGATACAGAATCACAGAATAGCAGGGATTGGAAAGGGCCGTGAAAGATCATCTAATCCAGTATCTCTGCTGGTGGCGTAGATCAGGTCTCCAGCACGAGAGCTGATAGCTATTATTGGTCTTGTGCAAAGACAGCACTCTGGATTCCACTTCACCTAGCACGTCAGGCACCTAAAGCAGAATTCATGGAGGCATGGCAGGGCAGAGGCCTGGTCATCGTGAGTGATGAGGCTGCTGGGGCAACTCTGATGCTGCAGCCCTGACCAGTCTACAGTGCAGTGCACTGGTAAAAGTACAGGGCGAGTTGTTCCACCATGCCAGATCTGCACCTGAAAGATGTGACACTCTGAAAGAGAGGGAGCAGACATAGTTATTTGCTGGCCCAACCAAGGGTGAAAGAAACACCACATTACTTCAGCAGGGAGCCTTCCTAGCCCCACCACTCAGCCATCTCCTGCTTCCTGATGGTACAGGGTCAGACTGTGACTATGGCCCTGGCATGTCCTTGAGCTCTAAGTGCCCTCCCTGCACCACCTCCCCAGGTTGCAAGGGATAGAACCTGAGGAAAAGGCCTCAAGTTACACTGGAGAGGTTTAGACTGGATATCAGGAAGAATTTCTTCATGAAGTGGTTGGTAAAGCATTGGAAGGTGCTTCCCGGGAGTAGAGTCACCACCATCCCTGGAGGTGTTCAAAAGGCATAAGGAAATGGTGCTTAGGGACATTGTTTCTTGTTAACCTTGGTAGTGTTAGTTACTTGGAGATGATCATTCTGAAGATCTGTTCCAACCAAAATGATTCTGTGATTCTACCTTGATTGAACTCAAGTCACTACATACACTAAGCTTTATATGAAGAAAGTATTAATGCATATGTTATTAGTTAATTTCTGTCTTGCAAAAGTACCTAGTAGAAATGAGGGGAATAATTTTATTTAAAGCATTAATTAAATTTATAGTACCTAAGATGGGCATTAAAAACATTTGAAATTTGTGTGGCCTTTGAGAGTGCTTTTAAAATTACTTAAATGCTTGCTAAACGTTGGGTTTTATTCATAATTTTATATGCAATGTATTTCGTATACGTAAAAAATTAGACCTGTTAAAATTTTTAATATTTTCAGTAACTTCAAATGGCTGGGTCAGGTAGAGGAAGAGGACGTGCTTCATTTACATTCAACATTGAAGCCATTGGCTTCTCTAAAGGTGCAGTTCTACCTGATGTTGTGTGTAAGCCTCCACCGCTATTTCCTGTAAGTACTGAAGCTTTCTTTGGTGCTCTTGGTGTTCAGGTAAAGTGCATTCTCTTCCATTTATGTATTGGAATGAAGTGTAAGAACAACTCTAAGAACTTTAGGTCAGTTTTTAAATACTTAAAGTGAATGATCAGTTGTTGCTGGTTTTATCATTATTGTTATCTCTTCCTGCCCATTTGCTAGCAATTGTATCCCTCAGTAACCTAGATAGCTTGTGACATGCTCGTTCATTAGTGACCTCACTGTAATTTGGTTTTCTGGATGCTGCAGTAATAGAAACACTGGATTTTTGAACTTGCCTGAAATGAAGTTATACTAGTGTTTCAAGTTATGACTGTATCTGATTTAGAATTTTTCTGTTGATTCAAACACAGAGGGATTTTGGATGATTATCTTGTGCTTCAGTAGCCAGAATGTGAAAAATAATTTGAAAACAACAGAAAGATGTTTTATGTAATTAAGGGTATTGAGATTGGGCATTCTGAGTGTGTTTGGAACGTATCAGAAAATTAAAGGGCAAGAAAAAGAAAGTTATTTTCTTACCAAGCTGAGTTTTGCTACGTAGTCAAACTTGGACAATTTTGAGGCTGAAAAGTTTTTCAGTTTTCAGTTTTATATGAGAACTTCCCCTTTGTATGAGGATTGTATGAAATTTTTCTCAACACATTATGGTATGAAACTAGCAAGTTTGGCATGAAATTGGCGCTATTCTGATATTTACCTGAATAGTTATTTCACACATGGTTTTGATTTACTGAAGCAGATGTTATGTTAATGTCTTAGTCCACCATTTCCCTTATAATTTAAATGGCATGACTTCATTGATTTTAAGTCATCTAAATTGTTCCTAGTGTCATTATTATCTGCTTGATAGCACTAGGATACTGAATTATGTGTGAGTACAGGTTCTGCAGTTACAATCAGTGATGGAGTTGCTTTAGAATTATTAATCCCATATGCGGTGTATAAACCCTTTCTAACATACACTGGGGAAGCTGAAGATGCTTTTTTTCCATTGAAAAATTGAAGTAACTCAGTATAACTAGAACTAGCAAAAATAGCATGAATTACATTTAAAAATTGGGCAGTGACCAAAAGTGTGATCTTACAGCTGTTCACTGACTTACACTGAAATTATTTTAAGTAGTGAATTGTTGATCGTGTTTACATATTTCTTTTGATTTTTTTTTTTAATTGATTTCCTGTAAATGCAATTAGAAAACCAGTTCAGGTACATACCAGTTAAGGTACATCAGCATACCATCAGCATCATGAGAGATTTAAAAAGCAAAAAAAAGCTGAAATTAGTAAGTTCCAGCTGTGGAATCTGCGATAATGTTTTGTGGTTTTCAACCAACCACTCAGATATTAATTGTGCACCACCTGTCAGATGAGAGAAATATTATGTAGTTACAACATAACTGATTCCATCACTACCTTAGTTTGGCATATATTTTAGAAATTTTTTATTACATGTCTTTTCAGTTTCAGGATTTATAGTTCAAACAAACAAAAACGGCCAGAAGAATTTAACAGTTCACTTACCTGAAGAAAAATTGTGATGTGGCAGGCCTGTGTGCTATCTGATTGTGATATGGTATTAATCAAACTGTGTTATTTGGGGTAATCATACATAATGTACGAAGGGTTGTCTGAAAGTAATGCCTTCTGTTTTATGATGTTGGCCCACACGTCAGAGGCAGATGTTGGTTGGTATGATAGTAGGGGTTGAACCTTCCCACCCATATTCTGTTGCATTATATTGCTGTGCAACAGATGGCAGCAGAGGGGCAGTCTGACAGAACGGCGTCTGAAATGGAAGAGCAGATAAAGAAAAGGGTTATCACCGAATTCCTCCATGAGCAATAAGTGACACCCACTGACACTCATCGACGCTTGCTGAGCACCTATGGAGACCCAACAGTGGATGTGAGCACAGTGAGGTGTTGGGGGGTGCATTCCAGCAGTTGCTGCAGTGACAGTGGGTCGCCTCTGCTGGTGCAGGTTTTTACGAGCACAGTTTGCAGGCTCTTATTCATCGCTGGTGAAAATTCATAGTTAATGGAGCTGACTGTTGAAAGATAGTTTTGTTGCTGAGATTTGATCCATCTTTGTATCTGTTGTAGTTTCCCTGGAAATAAGTAGGAGGCATTTCTTCCAGAGCATCTATTCAGTTAAAATTATGTTTTAGAAGCATTTAGGGCTGTTTGACTAAAGCAGTGGTTTCTGGTTAAGTTAGGTTGGAATGAAAAATTGATGTTGTTCTTTAAGAATCCTTTAAGCTTAACATGATTATGAATCACGGTTTCACAAATCTACTATTTTCTCCCTGATTGCCTGATGAATTTTTGTAGAAAGATACAAAAAGTTACGAAGTGTAAATTTAAACAGTTATGTATTTTAGAATGCAGTAAAGTATACTTGCAATGTAATATGCAAAGTTGCATTCTTCCATGATTATGTGTGTTTATTGTAGTTTTTTTTTTAGTGTTCCTGCATATGTGATGGATATCAAAGACATTGCAAATAATAAAAATAATTTGTACAGAGTACAGAAAATAAGCCAGTGCCTCTGAAAACAGGAGACGATGAAGATTACATGTTGGCCTTAAAACAAGATTTTAGAGGAGCTATGAAAAAAATGCCATATTTTTTGGCAGTAGAAGAAGATCATGAAGGTTTGTTTGTGTGCTTTTTATTTCTATTTTTGTTTCTGTCTTCAGTATTTATTCCGTGAGGGATAATGTAGTGAAAGGCATGTGTTGAAAATATATTTAGTATTGATAAGGGAGAATGAGAAAGAGCCGGAGTAATATGATAGGAGTGCTCTCATTTGCATTTACTAAAGTTGCAGGTCACCCATACAAGTGCTGTACCTTGAAAGCAACTGCTGTGTTAAAAAAGCAAGGTATTCTGTTTGATATAAAGTAAGAAACATTAAGACCAACTATTTGTGGTTCTTTCAATTGTATGATAATCAATACAAACTACATAGGTATTTCTACCTGTTCATGCATCATTACACTTTTAAAATCCAAGCGTCCTGGTCAGAAAACAGAGCAGGGATAGAAGGCCACAGTCTGTTTACTTTGCAGTTGCAGTATTCTAAACCTAGCAGCCACTGGAGCTAATCACTGGGGGGAGTGCTTTTTTTCACTTGTGACTTTTGCTTCTCTCTGTTATCCTTCTAAGTGCTGATTCTCAGTGCTATAAACACCACACGCTAATACAGGAAAAGAAAAAATATAGCATGTTAGGAAATTTGTGTCAAATTCAAGGCCCAGTCTGTGCTGTCTCTATCAAGGTTTATGGTTTAAGAATCTGGAATAGCCAAACATTAGATAATCTTTCCACTGCTATAATGTGGTGATTTCAAATAATGAGAACTCACATAAACTCTAAAACATGAGGTTTAATATCCATCCTGAAACCATCAAAGTATTTTCTAACTCTGAGTATTCATGGTAGAGATATGATACAGCTACATAATCTTATCCCCTCTTGAATGTGGGCAAATTCTGGAGGTTCTTGAGACTGTGTGCAATTCTTTTTTTATTAGCTTTGAGTACCGTACTCTGATTAATACACCTTTTTGACTTATTGACTGTACTGACTTGTTGTTGCACTGAAGTACTACTTAAAAAGAAGAAACAGACTGCAGTATGACAATACAGCTTCCAGTGCTCCCTGACCACCTTAATTTATTTTTAATTTGAACACATATGTTTAGCCACGTGTCTATGGTGTTTCAGTACCCTTTCAGACATCTTCTGGTGACCCTGAATTCCTGCAGAGAGCATAAAATAGTTTCAAAGCTCAGAGTTCTCACAGCAGTCAGAGATGCTGACTATGCAGACAAGTAAACTCTTAGTTTTGGAACAAGAACAACAGGAGATCTGATCTTCATTTCTAAATCCTTTTATGATTGTAGAAGAAATAAAATTACTCTTTTTTAACTCAAATATCTTTCATCTCTCATGTAAACAAATTTCAATCTTTCCAGATCCTTATCTCACCAGAGGCTTTCTGTGCTCTTGATCTTTGTCAAGCTTGAAGTTTGCTATTTCCATCTGAGACACAAAAAAGGAAACTGCTGAGCCTGAAAGCATGTCTGAGTAGTTTCCAAGGAACCAGCCACCTTGAGAATGTTACCTCTGTTTTCCAACTTTGCCTCATGTGGTAGTTCTATCTCTTAACCATTGTTTTTGTGTCCTTTTTTCTGAGTGTTAGTGCTGACTATGCTCTTTAATAGAACTGCTAGATTTGACTGTTTTTGTACAAAAATTGGCAATTGCAGGTAAGCAAGAAAAGAGCCTCTTCAGTTCTTCTCAGTGTCTCCCTGAGGAAAAGTTGGTATCTTGCCATAACTCTCTACAAAACCTTTAGCTGCAGAAAAATACCTCTGTTTCAGTGGTTCAGTATGGTTACATCAGTGGTTGTCTGCAGCTTAAATAGCTTGCTCTCATCTAATTATTCTTAACTGATCTTTTCAGTAATGTGGTTTACAACCCTTTTCTTCCTTGTGTTTCATCTAAACATCTGGTAGGATTACAGGAGAGGCAAAGTGGGGACTGTTGGCAGAAATTTCTTAGATTGGCTTTGCTGCAAGAGCAAATGAATTTTTTTAGACTGCCAGCACAACATCTGTGAGCCAAATGGTCATTTGAAGAGTGAGAAGGGAAACATTTTAATTAGGTAGGACCAGCTATGTGTCTTTCATTATTCATGTAGTGAAGGAAAGTCATATCTAATAGTACCTGGCAATTTTGATGCATTAGTATACCATATGTAGATTTTCATCATTCATTTCAAACTTATTTCGAGCAAGTGGTAGGTGTATTCTCCATGGTCTCCATTTTCTTTACTTCCTAAGCTATGAATCATTCATATTTTTCCTGCAAGTATATCTGCTGTGACTGGGTGATTGTCACCTTGGCAGTGGTTTGGAATTAATTCATCAACTGTGAGCAGCAAGTCAGGCAGGCACATTTTTTTTACTGATGGCATCAGCAATTAATTCTTACTAAAGATCACTGAGCTGAAGTCAAAACTACTAGTTTATTTCCCCATGTTGCTGACAGTTTCAAACAGCATCTATGAAGGCCATTTATATTAGGTGCCCCTCCAGACACTGTCATTTTAGATACAAGCTTTTTCTTGCTCAGTTTTAAGTAGGTCTTCTGCTGCCCTCACCACTGCTAAGTTTAAAATTTGAATTTAATTTCTGATATCATCTTTTTCCACACTTTTCTCCAGTGAGTATGTTAGAAGTCTTCTACTGCATAGATCACAGTCTGTTTTTTACCTTTTGTACAATACCCACAAAAATAATCCCTGTTTGAGTAATGAGATATTACTACAACTAGAATATACAGCTTTGTGTGTGGATATTGCAATTGGGCATGGTGATTGATAAGAAAAAATAAAACTGGTTGAAATTAGTTTTCTCATTAAAGATTGTGCAAGTATGAATCCATATACGTACACTGTATAACTACTATGTTATTCATACTGCATTTCTTAATTTATTTCTTGTGCCCAAACTGAGGAAAAATGGACAAAAACATATTGTTAGAATTGCAAAAGTATTTGAAGCCCTGGGACTTGGTGATGATCAGTCATTCGGAGATGACTTCTGAGGCCTTCTAAGACCTTCTAATTCTGGATGTTTCTAGGCCTTCTGAGTCCTAGGAATTTTGGATGCCTGTTAGGATTAGAACGGTGACAATGTCACTAATTTTCTTTTTTTCAATCACAGAATGACAGAAGGGTTGAGGCTGGCATAGGTCCGTCTGTCCCTACCGCTGCTCCAGCAGGAGCATCCAGGGAAGATTACCCAGGTCCATGTCCAGGAGGCTTCTGGTCTTGTTTAGCCTGGAGAAGTGAAGGCTTCAGGGAGACTAGTGAAGGTGTGTAGCAGTGGCACAGATTGCCCAAAGAAGCTGTGGATGGCCTGTTTTTGACGGTGTTCAGTGGCAGATTGGATGAGGCTCTGAGCTAGCAACCTGCGCTAGTGGGAAATGGATGTTGGAACTGGATGGTCTTTAAATTTACTTCAAGTTGAAACTGTGTTATGATTCTGCAGTTCCCTTGGGTTCTATTTCTGAGAGATTACTGCTCTGTTATGAGGAAGCTGTAGACCAGCTCCCCCTGGATGGCAGCTCAACTTCCTGGTCCATCTGCCACTTCCACCACATTTGTGTCATCAGCACACTGCTGAGGATGTGCTCTGCCATCATCCAGATCATTAACGAAGACGTTAGACAGGACTTGGACCCAGTGTTGGCCCCTGGACTTCCAGCTAGGCTTCATACCACAAATTACCACTCTGTGGTGCAGCTGTTCAGCCAATTATCAGTATGCCTCCCTGCCTGCCCTTCCAGCCCATACATCAACAACGGGATGGAGGGAATGACATTGATGGAAAGGGCATACCTTCAAAATGGGGAGCAATATTCTTCCTGGTTTTTGTTATTTATTTATTTATTGGTTTTGGTTTTGAGACCTAGGGTTATAAAATCCAGGTTTTTCAAGTACTTACCATATGATTAGTTCTAGGAATTACCATGAAAACTGTTATGAAACTGTTTTTAAGTGTTGTATAACAGTGCAAGAAACTGCTTCATGTGGGGTGAAGAGGATACGCTTGTATGTTTAATTACAGGAAAATACCAAAAACACTGTGAGTTGCCTTTCTAATGGATTAAAAAATCTTTGTGTCTTTCCCTACAGCAATTGAAAGGTACAGTAAAAAGTACATGGATGATGAAAAGGAGCATGCAGCATGGACTCCAGGTAATACCTGAGAATACCAAAGGCTGTTTTGGTATTTGCCTGGGTAATCTGTTCTTCTGAAATGTTTGATTCCAAATTTTTAAAGTAATAAAATAGTACATGCATCCTTACCAAAGCATGTAGTCTTTGTTGAGAGTTAGGCCCTTTTGGTGTTCTCAGATCAAAGGGAAGTATTGTTTTGTCTAGAAAAGAACAAATAAATGTGATTTTATTTTTTTCTCATTCAAAACAGCTAATTCTCAGCAAAAAACGCAAGCTTGATCTCTACAGCTTTCCCTCTTTGTTATTTCCCATGCAAATACCAGTTTTGAACTGGGAGAAAATTTAAAAGTTATGTACTAAAAAACTCCACCAACATGGTTTTTCAGTCACTGTTAGATTGATTTTATGACATTAAACTTTCACAAATATATCTGAATAGGTCAGTGTTGCAGACTTGATGATACTGTGTAATTTAGAGGGCATCTGGGACACTGGAAGGACTGAACTTTGTCTGACTGGGGTAGATGCCAGCTTTCATTAAGTGGGTAAAATGCTGATCCTCTTTATACTTCATCCTGAAGTACAGGTAAAAGTCAGCAAAATCGTTGGGATTCAGCAAAATCTTTGGGTGCTAAAACAATTAGACTTATAAATCCTATATGACCTTATATGACAGTTAGAGTCATGTGATGAAATCAAGCACAACAGAGGCAGTCTTGCTAAGTGAGATGAGGAGGATTACTGCTGTAAATCATTGTTTATAAGTATTAAAGCTACTTTCTGTACAGATTGGAGAAGACTTCCAAGAGAGATGAAGCCAAGGAAAAAGATGAAGAAAGGTAGATAATGTATTTTTAAATATTTTAAAAGATTTCAACAAAGGCATGCTAAAGCTGGTTACATGGACCTAATGAATAGGGATTTTGGTAGATTATTTTCTAAATAATTGAGTAGATTGCCTGGCTTTTAATAATTTGCTAGCTGCTGATATGTAATAGTGGAAGATTAAAAATGCAAAAATCTTTTTGTTTTGCAGTCCATCTTCTATTTAAAGAATAGCAAGCTGTTCAAATTTTCTTCAAATTTTTGATTTCTCAATTAAATTGTATATTATTTTGTTGACTTGTATTTTTTTAGGTCATTTATATGTAATTCAATGTAGTTTATTTTCTATTTCTCTGGTTTTACTTTTTTTGTTTATTTTCTTCTGCAGAATTGTGAACCAGATCCTTCAACAGCAGTTGGAGCTGGTATTGGTTGCTCTTTAAGGAAAAGAAATCTTTTTATTGTACAGCATCAGACGTGTATTCATTTTTAAGAGTGTTTTTGTTTTCCAGTATGCATGACTATTATTTTCAGTTCTCAGTAGAAGTCTGTTGCTTTGTTGATGTGAAACAACACTTGGCCTCCTGTATCTAGCTGTCTGTTACATACAGTTGTTTACTTTCTTGCTCTCGTTGTCCAAGTCCTTCATATGTCATTTTTCAGTTCAAGGATAAAATAGAAAAAGGAATGGGAATGTGCAGTAGTCATGGAGACTGGCTCAGCTGGAAGCTTTTGTCTTTTAAGAGTGTCATTGAGAAGCATGGGAATAAAGGTAGACAGCAAGATTCAATTTCAATTAACTACTTATTTGCAAAATCCCTCAAGAAGAAATGAGTGCATATCCATTTTCTTTTTTAAAAAAGAAGAAATTGCACTGGCTTTTGTAAGCCTGCAGACAATAATAAAACTCCCCAAGATTCTGTGCAATCATAAATGCTAATCCAGTATCCCTTTGATATACTAACATTCTGATTATCACAAAGAATCATTGGTCAGTACATTCTTTATTTCCACCATCTTCTGTGCATGTTTCTCAATTTGCTCTTAAAAGTACATTTTCTTACATAATTGTAACAGCAAAGATCAGCTGCCCACCTTGATTTGATTGGGTAAAAAACCTGTTTCTCTAAAAGCAAAAATCGTGAGGTTTCAGGTTTTTTGAGAGGAATCTTGGTGACATGGAGATCGTACAGAAGTCATGTTACTTTTTGTTTTGATGACACCCATGTTGGGTGACACTTCATAATCGAGTGGAACAAAGGTGAGGGAGTGAAGTGAATGTTATCTGCACTGATACACAGACAGGTTTCCTACAATTCTATCGTCAAAGATCACAGGAGTGGTTTTGGGGTCATTACACTATATGTGCAGGGCTGCCTTCATTTTTGACCCCCTTTATGACTTCCCTGAGTATTTCAACTTAACACCTGGCCACATCATTTACTGACATAACTTCAGGTAGGGTTTCTTATCTCCCACACTTAGGCTGGGCTGTGGACCACTATATCTGAAATATCAGCAATACCTCCAAAAAAAAATAGCCCAAACCAAAATTTTTAAAAAAACACAAGCAGTAAGCTGACTGGCTTCAGCTCCTGTATGCACGTGTATACAGCAGTCAGATTTACTCATGTAAGACAAAGCACTGTAAGAACTGCAATTTAAAAGAAAATAGATTGTATTGCCTTGCTGTTCTGCTTAAAGTTCTACATTCAAACGGTGAGCCTGTGTCTGTAATATTACAGTTAGCTCCAGAGATTTCAACCATTTAGTGGAGTCTTTTGCATATCTTTTTTTCACTTCCAAGCTGTTTATAGACATTATCTCTAAAAGTTTGCAGGTGTTTGTGCAGAGGTGATCATTTTGAATCACACTTACCTAAAGGCCTCCTTGTTCTGGATGTATTTGCTTTGACAAATGTGTTCATACATTATTACAGAGCAGCTTGACTTCCCTCCGCTATGTGTGGTGCTTTTGTCATTTAAACTCTTCCTGGGCAAAATACTGAAGTGAACAGAGTGTTACGATTAATGCTTTTGAGAAAATTATTAGGAATTATTATCATAGCAGCTGCTAGTGCTCCGTTTCCTTAGACATTGGACCAAATAAAATACATCCCACATTGGACTACTGTCTGCGCTGGAAAAACTATCTCCTCCTTCCATCAGCACATACAGTTTTCTTTCTACATGACTAGGTTTAGTATACTGTGGTGTAAAAAAAAAAAAAAAAAAAAAAAAAAAAGGGGTTGTTAAATTATTGGCTGGTCAATTAGATTTAGTGTAAGAATAAGCTGTTTAAATAAAACGTTGTGGAAATT